GAAATCATTGGGAGTACAGTTGGGTGAGAAATGAAGAAATGGTTGGGCTGGGCTCCCTCCCTCAACGGAGGTGCCGAGAGAAGCTCTCCACCCTCCAATCAGAGGGAGAGGACCCGGGGCAGAGATATTGCCAAGGTATGAGTTCCAGCATTGAAGTGATCTTCCAGGATAAAGAGGTTTATGATGGAGGAGTCCAGAAGAGTATAGGTAGGTGCAGCCTTGTTAATCGTCTTGTGAATGATGCAAAATTTGTCTTCCCGTAACTTTCAAACATTGGTTTTATTTCTGACTACTCCCCCTGGCTTTTCTGAATCCTTTCAAATATTTGAAAATGAACTGCCATGCCCACCTCCATCCCCCAATATCTTTTTCAGTCTAGATTAAATGCCCCTGGTTCCTTCAAATAGACCCTTCACCATCTTGGGCACCACCCTATAGGCATGTTATAGCGTTTTCAATCTCCCTCTTAAAATATGATTACAAACTGAGCATAATAGTCCAAATGGGGTCTGAAAAAGGCAGAGTGCAGTGGCAGGATCATCTCTTTCATTCCAGATAATGTTTAAAGTCACCATCACTGTTAAGTCATCCCTCAGCTCTTTTTCCATGAGCTGATTTTCCCCTTTTGAAGACAAAGAAAGGCCCTATTCTCCTAAGGTAGAGAAGCAAACAGCCCACACCCCTCACAAACTACCAAGTTGGTCAGAAGTAAAATCACCAGAGCTGTAAGATGTGACTATGATAATGACTGATTTTTGCAGATGTAATCAATCATATCATTTTATTTTTGCTAACTGCCATTAAGTCAACAAGCATTTTTTTTAAGTGAGGCAATCTGGGTTAAGTGACTTGCCCAGGGTCACACAGCTAGTAAATGTCTGAGGCCAAATTTGAACTCAGGTCCTCCTGACTCCAAGGCTGGAGCTCTATCCACTACACCACCTAGCTGCCCCTTCAACAAGCATTCTTAAGCACTTAATATGTGCCAGGTATCCTGCTAAGAATTGGGGATATGAAAAGAAAGCAAAAATATGGTCCCTGCCTACAAGGAACTCGAATTCTAATGAGGGAGACAACATTCAAACGACCATGTACTAACAAGATATATACACTAAATAGAAGGTAGTCACAGAGTGAAGAAACTAGTAGCAGGCATGACTAGGATAGGCTCCTGTAGAAAGTGAGATCTGAACTGAGTCATGAAGGAAGCCCAGGAAGCAGAGGAGAGGAGGGGAAAGGATTCCAGGCAACAGGGGGGCCACCAGTGAAAAAGGAATGTCGATACAGTGTCTGGCATGAGGAATACCAAGAAGGGCGATGTAACAGGTAGAAGCAACAGGTTGTGGACAGCAACGTGGGCAAATGAGACATCTCAAAGCCAATGGGAGGAGGGTAAGTCAGGGAGCAAAAATTAGGGACAACAATGTACCAGAACAGTGTACTGGTACCCCACCTCCCCCATTAGTATCAGGAAATACTCCATAGATTCAGGTGGAATCTCTGAAGAATTTATGGGAAAAGACAGCCAATAATCACACATGGGTAAGAAATCTATCTATGCCAGAAAAGGGAGTATTTGCCCTGATGAATATAAAACCCACCAGATGTATGAAGTACTAGAAAACCAGGTTTCAGAATCCTTGGAGATGTTTGAAAATGGGATGGAATCCCATTTATCTGGAGTAGTTTAGGTATAGTTCTGCCCAGATACAGAGAAGACAAAATACTTGAGGAGGGTTGAGAAAATGCACATTCTTAATTCCAAAAGACTCAAGAAGGAAAATACTATCCACATCCAGAGAAAGAATTATGGAGTCTGAATGCAGATTGAAGCACATTATTTTCTCTCTCTTTTTTTTCTTGTGGTTTTTCCTTTTTGTTCTGATTCTTCTTTCACATGACTAATGTGGAAATATGTTTAATATGATTGTACATGTATAGCCTATATCAGATTACATGCCGTCTTGGGGAAGGGGGAGAAGAGGGAGGGGGAAAAATTTTGGAGCTCAAAATCTTATAAAAGTGAATGTTGAAAACTAAAAAGAAAAAAGGAAAGAAAGAAAGAAACTCAAAAAACACACATTTTTCCCTTCTTTGCAGAGGTAAGAGATTTATAGGTGTGAACTATTATATGTATTGTCAAACAAGACTGAAATTTTGGTTTTACTGAACTTTTTATTTTACTTTTTTTTATTCTTGTTACGAAGAACGGGAAGTTTTCTTTGGAAGGTCACACAAAAATGGAAATATAAACAAAATTTTGAGAAAAGACAAAACACTTTAGGGTTGTAACAGGGTCACTGACTGTCTACTATGCCTGGAATTTTCTCCCTCCTCATCTCTGTCTCCTAGTGTCCCTGGCTTCCTTCAAATCTCTGCTAAAATCCCACCTTACTCAAGAAGGCTTCCCCCAGCCCACTTGATGCTACTGACTTTGCCTTGTGATTATCTCTTATTTATACTTTACATATCTGTTTGTATGTAGCTGTTTGCATGCTGTTTCCCCCATTAAATTGTGAGTCCCTTGAGAGCAAGGCTTGTTTTGCATTTCTTTGTAGCCCCACAACTTAGCACAGCGCTGGGATATAGCAGGTACTTAATAAATGCTTACTGTTGACTTAGGGATGGGGGCGGGGGGAGGAATGCATCCCAATCAAAGATCCATCAAAAAAAAGAATCAAAATATCTTTTAAGCTTTAACACCCCATTCAAATATCTTTTTGTTTATGTCCCTAAAGCAACTGTACCCAATATCAAAAGAATTTAATTGAGGGCTTATGCTATTTCATTGATCTGATACGTCCTGTGCATGTAGATTCTTTGTCATTAATTAGCCGTGTATATATATCTCTTCTCAAAAGCAGGTGTTTCACTCATCTCCCTTTACCCAGCCCAGCTCAGTGATTTTTCCTTTCTAACCAAATTTCCAAGGTTCTGCCAAAATGTCTCCCATCACACTCCTTCCAGTTCTGGATAGACCCCAAGGTATAGTCACTGCAGCAGGAATGCAGAGACTTCCTCTCTTCTGGTAGAGTCCTTCAATTCCTCAGGAATTCTTCAAAAGGTTGAGTAGAAGAACAAAAAGACTGTTTCATTGGGTCCAACCCATGGGCCATCCACTCCATAGTGATGGCAGCACCAAAGAACTCTTTTGGGGGGAAGTGGATAATGTGGCAGAAGTATATGTGACCACACACTCATACATCACAGAGCAAATGAGCTACAACCTGAGACTCTTGACTCTTGAACTACTGTTCTTTTCAATTCAGTACATTGTCTTCTGCCAGTCAGTATTTGTATCCAGGTGAAATCAGGTTAAAATGAAAATCAAGGATAGTCTTTTTGAAGAAAAGAAGTGACAAAAGGGGCATCTAACAGGATATTTTAGTCAAGTCAGGCAAAAAAACACCAAGCACCTACTACTAGTGCCCAGGTACTATGCTAAGTACTAAGGATACAAAGAAAGTATCATCACTTGGACTTGGTCGTAGCGAGAAGTTAAAAAGGGCCATAGGTTGATTACATGTCAAAGTGTCAGTTTATCAATTATTTGTTGTTATTGTTGTTTGCCACCAGTTGGTATAATCATTTTTTCCCTCTAAAAATATAGGTTCTCTCCACAGAGACAGCTTTGTGGCTCATTTTAGAACTTCAGGATTTGGTGAACAATTTATATTCTCCAGACACATAACACTTACTAGCTGTGTGACTCTGGGCAGGTCATTTCACCCCAATTGCCTCATCAAATTAAAAAACAAAAAACAATCTATGTTCTCCCATCCATCTTATTTGTGATTACTTCAAACTTTCCAGACTAAAGAAGACATCTAATTATAATCTTAGCCTGTATAGCCATGGCAGTTTCATACTTAATTTAATAGAGTCATAGCCTTCTGCTCTGAGGATTAAGGTGGATATATGAAAAGAGAAACTATTGATATAGGGGAAAAACTGAATCAAATATCTCTGATATTCAAGAGATAGGGGAAAGTGATACAAATATCACTAAGAGATAAGCGGTCAAAGGATGAGTACAAATAGCTCCAGGTACAAGAATACAAATGATCAACAACCGATTGAAAAACTGCCCCAAATCATTAATAATTAAAATTAAAGTGACTGAAGCGTATCTCACAATCAGCAAAGGTGACAAAGAGGGACTTGCTTTACGTTGCAGAGGCTGTGTGAAGGCAGGCATGTTAACAGTTAATGGAGCTATAAATCTGTCTAACTATTGTGGAAAACGATTTGGAACTATGCGAGAAGAATGATTCAAATGCTTACGACCTGCGACCTACCATACCACTAGTGGGCTTGAAGAAAGTCAAAGACAGGGAAAGGTCCCCTATATACAAAAATATTTATAGTAGCGCTTTTTATGGGAGCAAAAACTGGAAATAAAAGTGAGAGCCCATCAATTAAGGAACACCTGCACAAATTACGGTATATGAATGGAATATTCCTATACAATAAGAAATAACAAAGAGGAACAACTCCGAGAAATGGCAAGACAGGTACAAACTGATGCAGCCCAAAATAAGCAGAATCAAGAGAACGATTTATATCCTGGCCACAATAATGTAAAGGAAAACAGTACTCAAAAATATCAGGAGTCAGCTCAAAGCCATGGCCAATCTTGACTCCAGAGGACAGATGATAAAATTCATCTGCCTCTTCTCAGGATGCTGGCACACTATAGGTGGGGAATGAGACGTAAGTCATCAGACACGATCGATTTTGGAGCTGTTTTCTGTTTTCACTGTACTTTTTTTTATTATAACGGATAGTTCAACTTGGGGCAGTTATCATGAAATGACATCAATGTAAACAAAGCATCTTTACCTACAAGCTATAGAGAGTTTTTGTTTTTCAAGACTGAACTTGAACAGCTGGAGAAAACAATAACCTAACTTTTTTGGGTATCATGCACAGGACCTAGCACAGTCAGATCTAAACATCTGCTGAATGAATAAATTGAGGAATTGCAGCCAATAACTCACCCATATTCGGATCAGTTGCCTGACGCTTCTTAATCTTAGCCTCAGAAATAGCAGAATAATAGGCACACGTCATCTTGATCAACCATGCTGCCCGAAGCAATGGCACTGAATATTTTGCTAAATATGCAAAAACATCCTCCTTTTTGCTAAGGATAGGAACCTTAAAAAGAGGGAGAAAAAGAAATCAATATTTATAACATGCAGAAGAATTTAAGATGCAGAGCTGGAAGGGACCTTGGCATTCATCTCTTCCAGCTCCTTCATTTTATACGGAAGGAGACTGAGGGTCCCTGGAGCACCAGGTCACCCACTAGGTCACACAGCAGTAAGTTTCAAACTTGGGTATGACTCCAAATCTATTTCTAAGGAAAGAAGGAGCAAAAGCGGGTTGGGGGAGAGACAAGTCAAAAATGAGATTTACTTGCTTGTAAGGGAACAATGAATGCGATGAAAATTCAACAACTGCTAGTAGATTTGTCAAGAAGTTTTTACTAGGAATAAAGCCCAGTAGAATTCAAAGCATACTGAAATGCAGGTGGGAACACCTGGGTTACAGGCTCAGCTCTGCATTAAACTAGCTATAGGACCCTGAACAAGACACTAACCTAAGAAACTGAAATACAGATTCATCCCCCAAAAACATAACCCAAACCCATTTTTTTAAAGGCAACTGGGGTTAAGTGACTTGCCCAGGGTCACACAGCTAGTAAGTGTCAAGTGTTCGGTCTGAGGTCACATTTGAACTCAGGTCCTCCTGACTTCAGGGCCGGTGCTCTATCCACTGCACCACCCAGCTGCCCCTCCAAACCCATTTTGAAAATGAGAAAAAATGTTTGTGAATTTTCTCATAACTCATATAGATGCTACAACCAGTGTCTTACCAGCAAGACTAGAGGGGAAATATTTCAAAATACAAAATAAACCTGATACTAGAGTTGAAGTGTAAAACTGCCCTGCACTTCCCCCAGTCCTACTTTCCAAAAAACACTTCTTGTCAAACGCTTTGCAATACTGGTATTTCCTAAGTCACACAGAATGCAAAAAATTTCAAAGGCACCTGCAGCCTGAAGGTTAATACGGAGAGGCAAGAAAGCTTATCTGGAGGGAGGGAGCACTACTGTGGAGGAGCTGACTGCTAACACAGAGGGGCCAAACACTAATGGGGACGAGCAGAAGGCTAACTAATATGGAGGCAGAAGGTTCATATGGAAGGGTAATGAACAGCATCCACCTTGGTGCTTGGGGTTTAAATCCACTAACTTCGTTGTGTGACTTTATGTCATTTAACCTTACTTAGTCTCGCTTTCCCCCTCTGTAACTTGTACGACACACTTCACAGCGCTGAAAGCTAAGCATTCTGTAAGCCTTATTTATACTTACTTATACTTTGCATACTCTACTTCTACTTTGGGGTTCTTAACCTTTTATGGACCCTGGAAAAGGATCTAGAAAATCTAGTGCAATCTATGAACCCCTTTTCAGAATCATAGGGTTACAAAGAAAACTAATTACATTGAAATAAAGATCTGATATTTTCCCCCAAACAAGTTCAGAGACACTCCCCCACACATCTGTTCCCTTGTTAATACATGGACCCTACAGCTAAGAACCCAGTGCTCCCCATAAATGAGAGCACTTATTATGACTGGGGAGGGGGACCCCACAGCTAAGAACCCAGTGTTCCCCATAAATGAGAGCACTTATTAGGATTGGGGAGGGAGACCCCACAGCTAAGAACCCAGTGTTCCCCATAAATGAGAGTACTTATTAGGATTGGGGAGGGGGACGAGTTGACCAGACCTGTGATTACATTGAATATAAGGACAAACACCTAGAGTGGCCAACAGGTGCCTGCTCTGAAACTTGGTCTTAGAATTTTTCCTGAGACACCAAGAGCGCCAGTAACTTGCCCAAGAGAGCACCAGTAACTTGCCCCAGGGGAAAGGGGCAGTCTCTGTCAGAGGCAGAGCAGGAAATCCAGGTCTTCCTGACTCCGAGGCCATTTTGTCTGCCCACTCTATCACACTTTCTCTCAATGGATGTCATAAATGCTAAAATGATACCTCAGCAATCCTAACAAAAACTGAAATAGAAAATACAGTGTATAAATGAAACAGAAATGATGGAGGAGTTAATTTATTCATTTAAATTAGGTACTTAGGGAAGTTTATTATTTCTTTTCAGACCTAGTGAGGGAGCTGGAGCCCCAGCGCACAGAGAAGCAAAGCGGAGCTGGTAGAAGGCGCTAGTGAGCCTTTCCCAAAGTCTCTAGTGCTGATAATTTTAGGGGGGCTTTGTTTATCCCCAGAATCTAGTCAACTCATTAACCCAGAGGAAGAGACCCGAGGCCAACCAAGTTCATTCAGCTGTGACAGCAGGTGGGACCCACTAAGTCCTAGGGTCAGAATAGGTTTAAAAAAAAAAAAAGCACAGAACTTGAAATAAGAAGGTTCCTGGTTTTGTCATTACCTGTGTGAAACTGGGACTAATCATTTAAGCAATCAGTCCCTATAATTTCTCCTAGTGTGAATGAAGAGAATAAAAACACATGCCCCACCGGTCTCAGAAGAGGTAACATAGTACAGAGTGAGAGCCCTGGCTTTGGAGTCATAGGACCTGGACTCAAATTTTACCTTTGCTACTACTTATGCTCTGTATGAACTTGGGCAAGTCACAAACACAGTAGGCCTCAGTTTCCCAATCTGTAAAATAAGGCTTCTGAAGTCCCTTCTAGTTTTAAATCTATGATCCTATGATACCAGGCCTGGAGTCCGAAAGCCCTGAGTTAAAATCCAGCCTCAGACATGTGACCCTGGGCAAGTCAACTTAACCTATATCTGTCTCAGTCTCCTTCCACTGTAAAAATGGGGATAATAACTGCACCCACCTCCCAGGGTTGTTTTGAGGATAAAATGAGATAACATCTGTAAAGTGCGCAGCATAGTGCCTGGTGTATAGTAGGCATACAAATGCTTATTCCATTTCCCACCTCCACCCATTCCCCTATATTCCTTAGGACCACTGAAGGTCACGAAGTAATATAAGCACCTTGGTCTCAAAAGCCACAAACGGAAAGAAGCAAAGATGATCTCCTAAGGTCTCTCCCATCACCCGTGGTTCTTTCCATTTGGAAAAAAAACTTTGAAAACCGTCACCTGGCTCCCAGGCACACTGCCTCCTCAGTGGCCATCCCCTCCAATTCGGAGCCACAACTCCAAAAGGAATGAATGGAACGTGAGCCTAATGAATAAGGCTTCAGGCTCTGGGCCCCTGTAATGAATCTGGCCAAGAATTAGGAGGATGTTTTGCTTGTGAAGCGTTTCATCAAAAGGGCACCCGGCTCTCAGTTCACTGACTACATCTTTCGAGACCTTTATGGGAAAACATGCACTTATTCATCCCAAGGTCAGACCTGCCATTTCCTCTAATGCAATATTTGGCATGTCAAATATCTGTCAAAGGCCAGGCTGCTTCTCAGTTAGGCACACAGAAAAAATATTTTAGGACCAAGATCAGATAGACAGACAAAAGAAGGAGAAGTTTGCCACCTCCGAGGGTTATTACTGATGCTATCTTTCCTGGAAAGCCTAAATGATTTCTTTGCAACAGCAATCGACGGGAGGATTAAAAGCTGAAGGAGATAAATTTAATACAACATATTAAATATTTAGATGAAATACCCAACAAAACTGAACGACTAGGAGATATTATAATAGCCCTGGGCAAAACTCTAATGTTACCCTCACAAGCAATCTCCCAAGAGGAGTAGTTAGCTAAATTTGAGTGCTTAAAATTCAGAAGAAATATACATATCTTTATACACACATTTATGAGAAGAAAGTTACATAATTAGGGAAGAAGAGAGAGATCAACAGCTCTGTCCAATTTATAGCTACAGCCAGTGCTGAACCAAACCACAAGAATCATACAAACCAGAAGGAAAAGATTCACATGTACCAAAATTTTTGCTCTTCCTTGCAGAGATAGAAACTATTTTTAACAGAGAAAACTGGCCAAAAGTTTAGGATATCTGTTTGGTTCAGTCCATCATCTGGCTTATGTAAATACCTTCTTGTCTTCCAAGACAGTTAAATAAAATACAGTAATACTATAACTGTCCTGGAGTGAAATAAAATCAATGTTTTTCAGGGAGGTAACAGCTGCAGCTACATAACAGTAGAAAATTAAGACCATCCAGTATGTAGCTATTGTTTTCCTCCCATGGAAGAACCCTCTCTTCTCCCTACCCATTCCTCTTTCGACATTTTTCCACATTGGCATCATCTATTGCCCCAGTGGGGCCAAAATGGATCACCAGCACAGGTCGGAGTGATCAGATGACCACCTGAAATGGATAAGTGAAGACTAGAGATGTTTTCCAAACTCAGAGACATTCCCTACAGCACGCCCAAGCAGCAAGGAAGCCTCCCAGTCAAAATCCAGCTGTTCCTATCTATCAATTAAAAAACCCTGTCCCCTTCCCACCATGCAGTTGTCAATCTCTCAGAAGCAAAACACCTGGCAATTTACACGGTCCATTCTGACAGCAAAACAAGTTAGGAAATTTGATCTTTTCACATATCCCCAACTACATCAGACCCCAGATCAGAGTTGGAAGGTGATTCATGACCTCAGCAGGAAAGGCAAGGATTTCTGCCATAAGCTATCTGAAAGAAGAATTCTAGAAGAAATGCAAGAAGCCAATACCATAACTTAAAAAAAATTAAAAAAAATTTATGAAGAACATGCAGAGAATGAATAATTTTGCAATCCCAAGAGGAACAGATACTCAGGCCAACTGAAAATGCTCTTGGAAAATAAAAAAAAAAGCTCAAGAAATGACTACTTTGAACTACGTTCAATGGCTCTACAAAGAAAACAGCTATAAATTTGCAAAGAAGGAAGGAATGCCAGGGCTTACCTGAACAACACCTGATTTGGCCAGGGTAAGCAGCTCCTAATAAAGAGAGAAGAACATTGACTAACACACGGCTCCAGGATTTGCCTCCTTCCTAGAAGATGACTCTCCTAGAACAATACACCTCTAACGCAAAGTACACCGCCCCTCTGCCACCAGAAGCATTTAGGGAGCGTCAAAAATATGTCTGAAATGCTTCCAGGACAGGAAAACCTGCGAAGAAGAATGCCACGCTGGCTACGCAGGAGCTGGAGGTGCTAAGCAACAAACAGCATAGGAATTCCTAGTGGAGAGAAAGCACACAATAAAACGCACTCGGATGACATTAGCCTGGCCTGAAGTGCAGTCATTGAGTAAACTATTCACCACTGGAAAAGACAAAGCCAAATGGTCCAACAAGTTTTAGTGACGTGACCCAAAAAGGAAGGGAACAGGAGTAGGTTCAGTTGACGCTTAGCAAGGTGCTTGGTGCACAGCAGGTGCTTAATAAATGTTTATTAGCTGACTTGTTTTGGGGAGGTCAGTTTATACATTTAAATATTTCAGTTGGGCCTGGTCACAGAAACCTATCATGGTAACAAAAATAAGACCAATGAAAAAGCAACAAGTCCTATTTGGAAGGATTTTTGTTTAAAAAGGGAAAAACCCTGCAAGGAAGCTCTTCTCTACTTTGGGCCAGTGCCAGGCCTGCCACTGAAAAGTTAAGAGAGTAAGATAGAAATACCTTGGACAAAAAAAGGCTTTAGAGGAGACTGCAAGGAAATCCACGTGCTCATTGGGAAAACCATACAAGAGGTCAGAGATAAAGGAAGCCATTTCTAAGCCTACCAAGAAAAAAAGCTTTCTAGCTCTTCAGCTAGCTTCTAATGAACATTTTCTTTCAGTCAGGTCTACATGATTGTTCATCCTGTGTGTCTTTTTTCCCATGACAACAAAAGGTTCATTTTGAGGCACACTGATCAAAAGAAACAGTAAGGACCTAACAAGCCTGGCAAACTTGGTTCATTTCGCTCTTTCATAGATGAAGAACACCTAGAATCTCCATCTTGATCTCATCTGATGAGGGAATAAGACTTAGTCAGGAACCTCAAGATGCTTTCTTTTAAAGAGGAATGAGTTACCAACAAAACAAGGAGAGTTAGTTGTACACACTTAGCTCTGTTTTCAAGGACTTCTCAAATTGAGGAATCCAAGTCATGGAAATGGTAGGTTCTTGGTAATTGCTTTGGACATCAAAGTCCTTTCTTCTCTACCTTCAGTAGGCTATATAAACTGTGTTTCTACCTGAAGCTTCTAGTCTTAGACAGAAGCCCTATACAGGACACACAGTTCAAAACTAGAAAAAGGGGGAAAATATATATATATATATATATATATATATATATATGTATGTATATGTATATGTGTGTATAGATATATAGATATATCGATATATCGATATCGATATCTATATCTATATCTATATCTATATCTATATCTATATCTATATACATACACACACACACATACATAGATATACAAAGTCCACCTCCTATCTGACAGAAGGAAGAGCTTCATCATTATGAGCTTAACCACTTTGGTGAAAACCAAATATTTAAGCAATATGAAAAAAAAGTTGCTAATACCTTTTTTGCTAAGTTAGTGAGTGGTTTATTTCCTGCTAAATCTGAGAACCAATTGTGAATTGCGCTCTGGGATCGGGCAGTCACCAGCCAATAATTGTCTTTAGCATTAACTTGTGGTTTCTTCTTTCCTGTGTCCTGGAAAGTATTTAGCTTCAGTTTCTCTGCTAATATGCTGCTAAAATAAGCTCCAATCTGGTGGAAGGAAAAAAAAAGAGAAAAGAAGGGAAAAGTAAGTTTAAAGAACAAGAAAAAGCACCCTGCTATATTAAAAATTTGTGGTTACCGTTTAATTGAAAAAAGTCACCAATTTAGTCAATCACATAATAGGATTAAGAGTCAATACCTGGAAGCAAAGAGTTGGGATTGCCATTAAAAAAATCACATATCATCTTTGTTATTCAGAAATCTAAATTACAAATAAGTTATTCCACCAGGTTAAAAAAAAGGGGAGGGGCTTTAAAGGCATTGGGAAAGATAAAATGGAAGTCTTGAACATTTAAAGGTAAACGACTTTTGCCTTGCTCTAAAGCTAGCCTTCCTCCTTTACCACATTAGACATTCTTATTAATGTTAATTACACCCAGCCCTCTGGGAGAATATTTATCCTAACATGAATTCTGTGTTTTAACAGTAATGGAAAAATCTAGTAATCACACAGTAATCACTCTCTTTTTTTTCCCCCCAATTTAGTTATTTATTTATTTTAGTAATCACTATTTCAAAAAGAAAACTATTTACATTAAAGATTCTGAAAACTGGTGAAAGGCAATTTAAACTTTCTTTTCATGGCAAACAACTTGCAAATGCTCCAAATTTTCAAATGACCTGCCAATTTTACCAACACTGGTTTCTCATGATATCGCCAACAGTTAAACTTGCAAAAGTGTGTTAAGCCCTAAGGAGTTGTTTCTTCATTTCTATATTACTGCTTTTTTTAAAAATCTGGAAATGTTCAGGAAAAAAAGACCAAAATGGTATAATAACTGGAAATGGATGAAGCTATATAAACTCAGCGCAGTTAGTTGGTACCAGGACTGGAGTCAGGCAAATTGGCTATGTGACCCCGGGCAAACCGCTTATACCTGTTTGCCTCAGTTTCTTCATCTGCAAATGAGTTGGGAGAAGGAAATGGCAAAGCACTCCAGCCTCTCTTCCGAGGAAACCCCAAACAGGGTCACAAAGAGTTGGATATGGCTGAACAGTAACAATAATAAATACAAACTCGCTTCAATTTTCCCAAGAGGTCTATTTAAGCATCTCTCTCCTTTCCATTATTTTTTTTTAAGGGAGGCCAGTCCCTCCCTGTGTCCTCAGACACAGCAGAAGGTGACAGCCAATAGGACTTACAGCCCTAGCTGTGCAAACTTTTAAAAGATGAATTATCATCTGAGTTAATGTTCACAAGTTAATAAATATTTAGTCTGTAGACTGGCATACAGGTGTAAGCAATTAGCCAAATCTGTCTACCTGAATACGAAAGAAGAGCAATTTTTTGAAAAGATGTGAAGTAGGTGTTCCGTGATCCTTTTTGATTAGCGCATGATTAAAATTTGGGCTGTTTGCTTTTTATAATTACACTTTCTTCCATGGACTTAATAATACCAATGAAACTTAGTATAATTGCATATGCATCCTGGGTCCTATGAACATCTTCTAAACAGATGCATATTGTAGAGATCAACATTTTCTGGGAAGCAGAAGATTTAAAGAGAGCACAAAGTATGATTTCTGACAATTAATTGGAAGTGTTTATTTCCTCCAATTTAGTAGGTATTTTTTTAAGAGACTAAAGAATTGTCTTGGTAACAAGGAAATGGCAGAGGTGGGGGGGAGGGGAATGTGTGTTAAAAAAACATTCCCAATCTACAGAAACCCAGAGACTCCTTAGAGGCTACTGGGAGTTACCCAAAGAGTCTACAAATGCTTGCACAGGTCAACTATTGCCATCTGGATCCATGCTTAGCTCCAAAAAGATATTCAGCTTGATTCAGTATAAAAAATAAACAACTCTACCTTCCATAAGCTGAGTGAATATTATGTCCTACACAGATAGTGCATTGCTATTTTTCAAATGTAATACATACGCTGCTGGGATTTAAAAATATAATTTCATTGACAAGCATCACTGAATCCATAGTAGGCTGGTTGGCTGGTTTTTTGCCATCTTCTATTTCCTCAATCAGATACGAAGTCTTGCTATCATGGGGGGATGTGGCATTTTTGTGAAATCAAAAGCCCATCTCCATCGTCAAAATTTCAGAACTACTAGGCTAAATGTTTCCTGGAAATTCAGGTTTTTGGCACAGAGTAGGTGCCTAATAAATGCTTGGTGACTGATATGCCATAATTAGTGGTGGGAAGAAGAGCATAGTAGAAAGAACACTGAACTCGAGGTCAGAACACCCAGGCCCAAGTTCAAGTTCTGCTAGCCCGCTGAGCCTCTGGAGGGGCAAGGCAAGCCCACCAGCCTCACTGGGTTGCCATGACAACCAGTGATCCTTGAGAGAATAAATGCATATTAAAAAATGTAAAGCATTATTTTAACATTAAATATTCATTCAGTTCAGTCATGTCAGTTGTATCCAACTTTTCATCACCCCATTTGGGGTTTTCTTGACAAAGATAGGGGAGTGGTTTGCCATTTCCTTCTCCAGTTCATTTACAGTTGAGGAAACGGAGGCAAACAGGATTAGGTGACTTGCCCGGGGTCACACAGCTAGTAAGTCTAGGAGGACAGATTGAACTCAGGAAGATGAGTTTTCCTGACTCCAGGCCCGGCCTTCTATCCACTGCACAAATGCCAGTAAGAGGGGTTAATCCTTAAGAATGCAACAAAGTTGACTTTTTATAATCTAGTGAATAAAAAAGCTTAAAAGGGACCAAAATATTTCAGTGCCAAGAATCTCAATAATGATGGTTGTTATGGTTTCCTTCTTCTTGACACTGGCATTTTAATAATTACGAATATATCACGTTCAACTGAAACTGAACAAATAGTTCATTCCAGGTAAACAAGCCTGGCCAGTCCTCTGAGAAGTGTTCTTAATCTCCATGAAACAAGTACAAACTGTTTTTTTGTTGTTGTTCTAAACCTGTGATTTCCTCAATGTGTCCCAGCTTGGACATTCCCTCCATTGACACCATTTATGAGACTTTTCTAACTTGTAATCTTAGAAAGCTACCCAGCACAAGAAGTAGAATTCATAGTAACATGGCCACTATGAATCAAAGGACTTTAAGTTAATAGAAGTATACCATGAGTTACAGAACATAAGCACTCGGGGAAATATTTCTGTTTAATCTGTATCAAGGACCATTTCTTTAAAGGGACTAATATGAAATCATTAACCGCCCATCTTTTCCTGGCAATTATATTTCCCAAAATGGTCGTACTGAGCTTGAGAGACACTACTTTGTACGAACACTCTTTCACCTGAAGAAAAGTCATCCCATGGAACTAACCACAGCCCCTCTATCATTTAGAGAGATTCATTTTTAGGACATAAAAAAATGTGCTTGGACAAAAACTTAACAGTATATACGAGTCTACACACTCCATAGTGTAGAAATGAAGCTTGAGGTTAAGATTGAGCCTCACCTTGGATGGGTTAATGACGATATTCTTGGCGGAGCCATGCTCATCCCCAGAGAAGGCCGGCTGGTTATTGAAGCCTTGTTTCACGTTCACTGCAGTGAGTTCATCCTGTTTCAAAGAAGGTAATTCATTAATCATGATGTTTTAAAAACTGGAATTGATACCTTCACCTATGAACCTGTGCTTCATGTTTAGTAAATATTTAGGCTTGCCAAAGAAGGAAATAGAGGGTAAAATGAAGGAAGAGAAAAGGGACTACTCCAAATAAAGAGAAAAGGGAAGTCTAGCATGACAGATTCAGGCCACAGAAGCCATCCGGTCCAGTGCCCTCATTTTACAGATGAGGAAACTGAGACCCAAGAGGACCAAGTGCCTTGGTCAAAGTCACAAAGGCAGTGAGATAAAAGTGGACTAGAACCCAGGTTCCCCGACTCCAAAACCACTGTGCTTTCCAACTGCACCACAGAGAAAATCACAGAATATTCAAACTAAGGGGGATTTCAGATATTTTCAAGTCCAATTTTCCATCTCAATGGAGAATAAACTTACATAAGACCACAAAGACAGTTTACTGGCAAAAACACTGGCCCTGTTGAATTCCTAGCTTGAATCAAACGTTACCTCATGCATGAACCTTTCCTGATATAAGTAAATGCACTCTCTAAACTTCTTGAAGTTGACTTTGTATGTGCTTTTTTTTTTTTTATTTAATTGTCTAATGATGTACACCCAACACAGAATAAGTTCCTTGAGGAAGCCCAATGAATTCCTATGGTTCCTTAATCCTTCTGGCACTGAAAGCCCTTTCACCATGGCTCCCACCTTCCTTTGCACATGACACATCCTTCCTTAGAGTCCAGTCAAACTGGTCCTCTTTCGGTTTTTCAAACCTCACCCACTAAATCCTCTCCCTGTGTCTTTGGCCAAGTTGTGCCTCACACCGAGCAGGCTTTCCCCTCCTCTCCTCTTGGATGTTCTAGTCTTCTTTAAAGCTCAGCTCTAGCGACATGTCCTACTACTGGAAACCTTTCCTGGTGTCCCCCAAGAGGCCAACACTACCTCCCAGAAAATGACTTTGTAGAGATCATGGGTGCTTAAAATGTGCATGGCAACTCCCTTGAAGAAACATAAGCTCTGTGAAGGTTCTGTCTCATTTCTGCCTTTTTATATCCAGTACCTAAGACAGTTCCTAGCACTTAGTAGGCACTTAATAAATGCTTGTTGATTAATTAAGAGACTATCACATTTTTGGTTTTTATTCTCTGGTGCCAAGTGAGGCATCTTCTAACACTGGTGTTTAACAAATATTTGACAAATTGAAAAACTGGATCAACAGATCTGCCCTGCCCCCAACCTCCCTCCATCTCTTCCTCTCTCTCCCTCTCTCTCTCTCCTCTCATCCTTTCCCTCTCTCTCTCTGTGTCTGTCTGTCTCTCTCCTCCCCCTCCTCCTCCCTCCCTCTTTTCCTTCCCCCCTCTCTCCCCCTCCCTCTCTATTCCTCTTCTTCCCTCTCTCTCTTCTTCCTCCCTCTCTTCTCTCTCTCTCCTCTCACCCTTTCCCTCTCTCTCAGTGTCTGTCTCTCTCCTCCTCCTGTTCCTCCTCCCTCACTCTTCTCCTTCCCTCTTTCTCCCTTTCCTTACCTCCTCTCTCCTCCTCCCTCTCTATTCCTCTTCTTCCCTCTCTCCTTCTCTCTCTCTTCTCTCACCCTTTCCCTCTGTCTGTCTCTCAGTGTCTATCTCTCTCCTCTTCCTCCTCTCTTTCTCCCCTTTCCTTCCCCCTCTCTCCTCCCTCCCTCTTTCCTCTCTCTCTCTGCTCTCCCTAATGTTTGATAATTCATAAAATCTCAATATCATTTAAAGTCTGCCCTTTGGCACCTTTTAACTGGCACAAACTAGGGCCTGATCAGCAGGCTGCTCTTCACATATCTCATTGTTCTTGGCAGTCTTACAAAAGTCATATTTTCACATCCCAAGTAAAGGCTTCTAAAACAAATCACACTAATCCAACATTAGGCAGAAATGGGCTTTTCTTTCACATTCTGGCCTTTGTGTACCATCTATTTCATGCGAAATGCTCTAAGGAGGGGAATAACATGGGAGAGCCTCACTTGCATAACTGTGATTAAATTCCGTTACTCCTGCTTCCAAGCCACAACACTAGTTCTGAGCCCAAGTTCTTCCTGAATTCTACTTCAAAGAAACCAAGAACACACGCAACTCCCTGACTCATAGATCTCATTTATTTTTAAGAAATGGCACTTCCCCCATTGGCACAGATTTATGTGTTACACTCTCAATCATCCCACATGAAGCCCTGGTATTTGGAGTCAAAAGACCTGCATTCAAATCCTCACTCTGTTAATGACTGCCGATGGGATCTTAAACCCTCAGTTTCCTGTAAAGTAAGGAGGTTAAATGAGAGTAATCACAAAATCATGGAATCATGGAATTTTCCAGTAGGAGGGGACTTTCAGCAATCCATACTTAAACTACAACATAACCGAAAAGTGATCATCCAATATCTGCTAGAAGACACCTAGTGAGGAAGAGTCTACCTCCTTCCAAGGCAACCCTTCCCCATATTTCACTTGAATGGATTTTAAGGGTTTGCCTACCACTGAATCCTCTCATCTCTGATCATATTGACTATGATGCTATGAACACTAAAAGGTGCCCTTTTTTTTTTTAAGTATGAAACACGGCTTCCCTGGCCATGTCATCCTCCATGAGTCACCTCTGACAAGTGAAAGTCAAAGGCCTAAGTTAGAACAAGCAGTATACAAGGTTTCCTAACATATAGGAGGAAGGGAAGAGAAGATCACTCTTCTCTTGAACCACTCTCCCTCTTTCTCCCCACATCCAAATGGCCATATTGACACTATGAGCAATGGTACCATTCATCCCAAAATGGAGAGCACCTGCACATTTTCAGCAAGTGACTTCTTTAAAGATAAAATCAATGGGTCCAACCACAGGTTGCCAGGTCCCAGAACGAGGCATTTTATAGTACAGAGGCACTTGATCCAAGACTTAAGAGGCCGTATTAGCTGTGAACAGAGGTCTCTTGGAGGCACGCCATGTAACTTTATTTAATTCTGTGTGCTATTAGTAATAAGTTGGCAGACCACTGTTTTGGCCCGTAATCAAACATGTCTTGTTTTGGGAAATTAAGCTCTAAAGTAATCAAGTCTCCTCTAAGCATCTAGAAGGTCATTCAGACTTTGCTTCACCCAGAGAATGAGTTACACACTCACGTATCAAAGAAGCCTCAAACTGTTCAGACATTATCAAACGAATTATTTGAGGGGCCAGTCCAATAGATTCACAGCATAGGAATTAATTTTACATACTTAACACACACACACACACACACACACACAGACACACACAGAATAGGGATCAGACCTGCAATTTCATTAATTAAAGAGAATCCTTAGCTAAAGAGACTCCCTTTACTGGTACAGGTTGGCACCTTCTGCCTGGAGCATGATGTGATGATTCGCTCAGGGTTAACTCAGCCAATATGTCTGAGGCAGCTAGAACTTGGAACTCACAGCTATTTATCCATATGTATACATAGATGAGGAAGGAAAGAGAGAATTCAGCACATTATAGTGGTAAGAGCTCTGGGTTTAGAGACAGGAAGATCCAAGTTTCAATCTCCCCCTTTGACCAACCTTGCGACCATGGGCATCTCACAAATTCTTTATGTCTCAACGGAAATTCCTCGTCTGTCAAATGGGGATAATATCTATACTTCCCATCTGACAAGAGTTTGTTGTGAGGCTCAAATGTGGTAACAGTATGCATAAAGTGCTTTGCAATCTTTAAAGAGCTATATAAATGTCATTATTATTTTCAAATTAGTTGATTTGGAAATATAAGATTGTAGTTCCATAGCATAAGAACAAATTAAGCAGCTCAGAGTTAGTATTTGAACCCAGGTTTTCTCATATTAGGTCACACTGCTTGAATGTATTCGGTAGGGTTCTTATGGAGGAAGGGAGAAAGGGAAAGAGAAGAGAAAAAGAGGGGGAAGGAAGAAGAGAGGGGGAGGGAAAGGGGGAAGGGAGAGAAGAGAGGAGAGCAGGAGAGGTGGAAGAGAAGAAAAGGATGGGGGAAGGAGAGGGGAAGAGAAGAAAAGGATGGGGGAAGGAGAGGGAAAGAGATGAAATCACCAGTCCTTGAAACATTAAAGAGTACTGGATCATTGACTCTACCTTTCTGAGCCAAAATGAGCTTAAGATTCCTTCAAGCTCTAACATCCTATGACTTTAATAAAAAATCATTTATTATCCTGCTACATGTCACCTGTGTGATCTTCTACAAATCACCTACCCTGGACCTCAGTTCCTTCATGAGGATGCTGGTTTCTGAGGCTACTTTCACCTCCCTATGAGAGGCAGAAAGGGCCTGGAGAATAACATGATGAAGTGGGAACAGGGCTGAACTTGGAATCAGAAACACTGGGATTCGAATCCCACCTTTGACATCAGTAAGCCACTTAACTGCAGTGAGCCTTGGTTTTCTCCTCTACAAAGTGGGGATAACAATGCTTGTAGCACCTACTTCATGGAGTTGGCTGAAGACAACATGTGGAAAGCACTTTCTAAATGGGATAACGTAAGAAAGGTCCTGACTTAAAATGAGCATTCTGATGAAGCCAACAGACAGAGGCTGAGGCCCATTCTTTGGAAGCTGGAGTGAGGAAGGGAGGTAAAAGGGGTACCAATAAGAAACTGAGCTGCCATCTTTGATTTTTCTCTCATGATATTGCATGACTCAATAATTAGGTAGTAGCATATGTGCTTGCTTCTTTCCTCCTGCCCCCCAAACCTCCACCCCCAAAAAAAGAAAAAATTCCAAGGACGATGTTCTGGTGTAATGATGCAGCAAGTCTGCAAGCTCTTCAAGACCCAATGGTACAGCTGTATCTGGCACTACTCCACTGTAGGGACTCTTTTTTTTTTCTGGTTTACAACAGAAAAAAAAGTGGTTTATCAGGCCCCTTTCCATCCTAATAGAACAGCAGTTCAATGGATGGATCAATAATTCAACATGACAACTAACATCTTTTATGTCTCCAATCAAGGCAATAACTTCCCTGAC